TCCAGCGGTTTCCGAGCGAGTGTTGGACTGACAAGAGGAAGTGAGAAGACTGAGAAGAAAACGAGGAGGTGGAGGAAGCCAAAGGTGCGGCGCGGAGGAGCAGAAAGGTGCCTTCAATGTCACGTCGCTATGGCAACTGACTTGTCAGACAGCCATTACCGTGCGATTGCTGGAAGAGTGTTGACAGTGATAGCAACAAGTCTGTTAGCACATTTTCACCTTGCACTTGGCACAAAGTGTTTGGCCTGACACTACATCTCCAGAAAGGAAACTCCATGGACGTCAGCTTCTCCAACAGATACTACCATACAGGTGTTGCATCGGTGGAAGGAAAGGAGGCGATGGGTGTGTCTGATCAGGCGCATACTATGGCAGGAGGAGGACCCACACTGAAGTGGAGAGTGTGGTATCGCCAAAATAACCCAGTTATCTTTTCAGCAAACCTCTGCTTTCTGCTCCCTTTTTCATCGCCTGCACGAGCTGAGCTCTTGTCAAAAACTAGGTCTCCTGCCAGATCCGAGACCGGACGCAACATGGTGCCTCATTTGCTGCCATGCCTAAATAATTGTCCTGCCGAATGCAATCAAATACAGTGACCCACTGTAGGACGTTCTCCCTGTGTTTGGCAGAGCACCACAGCTTTGGAAACACGATGGAATTCAAACTATTCATTGTAGTACTATTAAAAAAATGAAATGTGTGTGTGTGTGTGTGTGTGTGTGTGTGTGACACACACACACACACACACACACACACACACACTGTGATGGGTAAATGAAGCTTCATGAAGCACTTTCAAACCGGGTTTTGGACATTGCTTGGACATTGGTTTGTATCAAGCCCAATCTGTTCCACAGTTTCACTCCACATATGGAAAATTGCTTTATGACTATCTTCTATAAATGGTTGATTTAGGAAAGAAATTATAAACATAATCAAAATTTATTTGAGAAACATCTGTTAAAAAAAATATATATAAAAAAAAAAACTCTCACCGGTAGATGCCCTGCAGGAGCCTCTCAAGTCTTCCACATCCAGAATTTATAATACATCTACAGAGTGTAAATCATACATGCTAATGGAGAAAAAAAGACACTTTTGTGACAGTGTCACATGTCTGTCTTAGCCATTTTGAGTCATTTGTCAAGTCACTTGAATGAATCTGCGTTCTGTTCTGGCATTGCAGCAAATTGCTTGCGTTTGCTCGTTGGCATGCTCTCAAACTGAACTAAGATTTCTCACTTTTTTTCTCCAACCGACTCCCAGAATGACCAACGGAGATTTTCACCTGTGTTACCCGAGATGTACCTTCTTCTCACCCAAAGGTAAGCTGACTGAATGAGATCTCGCGCAATACGAAATGGAAGAATGTTGTCATTTCTCTCTTTGACCAAAGCAGTAAAACAATTATCTGATGACTTATAGCCATGCATACATCCCAAGAGAAATAGTTGAATTTTGCGACCCTTGCTCAAGTTTCCACATGCGCCTGTTCCATGTTTAGCGTTTGCCTCCCTTTCTTCTTACTTTGCTTTTTAGCAGCTCTGTCACGACGAAACTCGAGGTGCATAAATTAGCCCACAAGCAGCCTGCGAAAGTACAAGTTAAGCTAATGCTACGCAATCTCTGCTGAGTGACGTCTCGGGGAAAAAAAAATGTTTCGATGTAGCTGAAGGAAGGAAAAAAATGTGATTATCAAACTAAATTTAGAGGTATTATGTTTTGTGTCACTTCAGGTTTTTTTTTTTTTTTTTTTTTTTTTTTTTTCCCAGGGACTGAAGTGTTTTGGTGGTGTCACAATCTTTGACAAGTCAGTGCTCTGTGCCTTGATTGTTTTCCTTGCTGGCAGATATGATGTTTCTTCTTCCCCATCTAACTCCCACGCAAACTTGTCACAGTCAATTTGATAAAGTTTTACTTTGCTGCACAAGACAGAAGAAGTTTGCGACTGAGCAGAGTAAAGCAAGCAGGTGATGGAAAGGAAGGTGCAGGCAATCATGGACACACACACACACACACACACACACACACACACACACACACACACACACACACACACACACAAGACGCTGGCAGTGCGAGATAATTTTGTGTTTTCTTTTCAAAAATGATGATGGATCCCAGCTTCAATAAATTTAGCGCTCCTTGTGTGTATCCTGATAAACACTCCAGAAGTTCCATTTTAAAATATCCAAAACATTCAAAGCTAAAAACGTTAAGCCCACCGTCCTGCCTTCAATTTAAATTGCTCCTTCGTTTACAAAACATGTCCGGAATGCTGGTGCAAGCTACAAAGTTTAGTCAAAGTTGAATGTACAATCATCTCAGGTGTCGGTATTATTAATTTGTACATCTCTTAAAGATTTCAAGCGGTAAGCTAATGCTGGTTATATAAGAGCAGCTGCTTGCGATTTACGTGTGATCCGATTAGTCGACTCATCGCGACGACTGTCGCTGATAAGTCGACTAGCTAAATAATCGCTTGTGGCAGCCCTAATGCACGCGCGCGCGCACACACACACACACACACACACACACACACACACACACACACACAAAAGACAGATGTGTCAGTAGCATTTCAAAAAAGCCAGCTGCCTTATCATTGCAGCAGGTCCAATTACACGCACTTACACTGAGGCACACAAATGAGGGCATGCAAGGCAGTTGGGGGGTTCTGCTGCCATGCTACTGCTTCTTCCACCAACAGGGCGGGCGTCGTAATGCAAAGAGACAGATTCAGGTCAGTCACTCACTCTATGCGAGGATGATTCCGGAAGGAGAGAAGATGCTGCATGGAGGCGAGGGACGACGCCAAAGCATCGGCGTCTCGGCGTCCTGCAGGAAGATGGGATGCGGTAAACACGGAGAGAGCGGGAAAGTGATCCAAAAAAAAAAAAAAAGAATTGTAAAGATGATGGGTGGCCAAGACGCGTCGCTGCCTTAAAAGAATGGAATGAGAAGGAAAGGCGCGGAAAAGGACGAGCAGGAGGGAGAGAAAACATTGCGGCCCAATGTAAAAAGGTGTAAGAAGTGTAGACAAAGGGGATGAGCGTGTAATTGACATGGAGGGAAAGTGACAAGCAGGAAGATGAGAGGGGAGTATTGAACCAACGAGGCCTGTGGGGAGAAGTAGACAGATAAGAGAGAGGACACGTTGTCATACAGGCTGCCATTCAGCACACTCACAAGAATCTTAAATCATTGAACACAATAGCCTGTGTAATGACAAGGGATTGTACTCTGCTCACACATTATTCATATAGTGCGCCGGCTTTTTTTTTTTTTTTCCCTTTCATAGAAGAACACCAACCACACCCAATGCGCTCTTCATCTCTCACAATGATTTTGATGTGTCACCCACTCAAAGGTACGCATTTAAATGAACTTGACTAGAAGGCTTCTTTCACCTCCAGTTGTTGCCGATTTGGTGTACATTTTTTTCTTTTTTCTTTTTTTTTTCCGAGGCACAAAGCTTCCCCTCCTCTTGTCTTTGTCCTTGTACATGAGAGCGAGATGAGAAGATGAGGAGGAGCGACGAGGGTCAAAGCATCTTTCTCTCTGGTGCCTTCGCATGTGAGGATGATGCCGCATGGCAAAGGGAGGGGGGGTGGGGGGTGTGGGGCTTTGTTCAGAAGACAGGTGGAGGAAGAAACCCAAACTCGGCTGCCGAATTCCCAGCAGGAATTATGATAGCAAAGAGCGTGCAAATATCCTGTGACAGGAAGCAGCCTTCGCAACACAAACTTGCGGATCAACATTTTCCTCAAGGAAGCAACCAGCAGCCACTATTGTGGAGCACGACTTAAGTTTCTCGACTCATTAAAGCACAACAATAGCACAAAAGTCTTGTAAAAAATGTGTCAGCCACCTGTGGCTTCAAAACAAACTCATTTTGACGCGGCCCGAAGATTGACAATTTGCCAACCAAGTAATGATCTGACAGGCCACCTTACGTAAACCTAGAAGGACGTTAAGATTGACAAGCGGTCATTTCCCAGTGTTTATCCGAGATTAGGCAGGACACACGCAGCCTGCTACGTTCTTCAATCCGCCCCAACAAGCAGCGCACGCCTTGTGCAAAGCACATTTTAACTGTGCGCATGGTTGGAGTTTTCTTTCTTTTAGTATTTTGTTCAACTAATGCAGATGGCAGCTCGTACCCCTGAAATTCGGTGCAGAGAGGAGGACATGGCGGAAGGACATGGCGCATGCAAAGCAAATTTTACAGTAAAAGGAACTGCAAGATCTCCACTTGCAGATGATGTCAAGTTAGCTTCGATAAAGTGACTATTTGGAAACCGGACTACATTTTTCAAATCGTTCTTTTTTTTTTTTTTTTTTAACTTAACCAACCTTTTTCCATTGCCTTTTTCCGGATGGATCTCATAAAACCGAGCAAAACATCCGCAGAGCCAAATTTACAGTAAAAAGGAACTGCAAGATCTCCACTTGCGGATGATGTAACGTTGGCTGCTCTAAAGTTGGCTATTTGGAAGCCGGATTTGATTTTTCGTATCACAGTCATTTTTTCTACTGAACCAACCTTTTTCCATTGCCTTTTTCCGGATGGATTTCATAAAACCAAGCAAAACATCTGCAATTCATGCAACTGACAAACATCCTAACTGCTTCACGATGGCGTTGTTATAGATTCTGTTAGTGCCACATGACTTTGAAGTTCCTTTCTTTCTTCACAACCTTTGCAATTGTCCCGGTGACAGGATGCCGTAAATGAACTGAATAGTTTGATATGCGTCGCAGTGCACAAAAAGCCAGAAGTGGGAGGAAAAGTCACAATACAAAATGTTAAATGATTAAATCAAGAACAATTCTATTCAGGTCAGTCAACTACTTGCTCACTGTTCTCAAATCTTTCGTTTCGTCTCCCCCATCGCTTGAATGAGTCTCTGTGCGCGGAAAGATGCACACACAAACTTTGACGTTTTCAGGTTTTCCTCTCCTCCTCTGCTTGTGGTGAAGTCTTCAACATGACTCGTGACATGACATCAACAACTTTGGAGCCAATTATTGTCAGCGCAGCACGGCGGAGTGCAACTCGCAAACCTGAGAACAGACTCGAGTTCAGTCAGAATCATCTTTCTTCATGCTTGAAATATGCACACTTCCTTTTATTTTCCCCCCCCACGAGGCAGGAGGAAAGAACGGCGTGTCCTTACAGAGTGTCTCTGGATGTCTGCCGGGAATTCCGAGCAGTCACTGTGTGCATGTTGCATGTCCAATATCTTTGTTTGATTTTCTAGTTTTCATCCACTGTTGCATAACGGAAGACTTGTTTGCCAAGTACTTGGAGAAGAAAAGATTTTTTTTTTTTCTCGCGCATTTTGGGAGCATATTTGTCAGTTTTCTCCTCTGTGCCGAGCTCAGCTTTAATGCTGATTTTTTCATTTATTTGACATTCTTAACGACCTCATTTTCCTCTTCGTAGGGCTTTGTTGTTACAGCTTGTTACATTGCTGGCCAGACAAGAAATGTAACCTAAAACTAGCCGCAGTATTTGAAACAATATCGCTCACACACACACTCACACACACACACACACTGTATTGTACTGCCTGAATTGTTGGCAGTTCGGATCCGCAGTTGTTATTTGACATAAATTAAAAAGATGTAAGACAGCCGCCTGGCTCCAGACTTTTTTTTTAAGGTTAATGAGTTAAAAATAACAATAAATGTGTGTTTATTTATTTATTTATTTATTTATTTATTTTATTCAATTGAACAAAGGGAAAGTGTTACCAGTCCAAAACCCACCGAGGATCACAAGAAACAAAACAGTGACATCGGTTCATCTGCTCGACTGAAGAACTTTTTGGTCTATTTGGAGAAAGCAACTTAAAAAAAGATTTAAGTCGACTTTGTTACTTTGAAATCTTTAATTAGGCTGCTGATGTTTTTTTTTTCTTCGATCATCAAACACCTCCCCCTAAATGAACCAGCATTTGATGCGAACTCAAATTAGATTCTTAAAAGCGTTGTTTTCATTAAGAAGCTCGAAAGCACTCAGAAGAGCAGAGCACTCGAACAAAGTTGAACTGTTAACAAAAAAAAAAAAATGGGCGGGGTGGAAGGTTGGGGGGAGAATATACAGCATAAAGTACATAACAAAATACAGTTTTAAATCAATATTTGTTATTGACAATAATTAGTCGGAGATCTTAATTCGCCACGTGATATGTGATGAGGAGCAAGTAGTTAGCTGAGGAAATTAATATGTTGGTTACTCGTGTGGGATTATATAATGAATATGAGGTTAGGGGGATGTTCATACACAGCCTTTGTTGTTCTAATGTGAGTGTATTGTTATAATGTAAAGTTATTTGGACACTGGTGAGAATGATAAAATGGAAGCGTACAGGTATACCAACCATGCATTGTCAACTCTTTGTCCTTTTCAGGATCACAGATAAGCTGGATCTTATCCAAGCTGACTTTTGGCCAGAGGCAGAGCACACTCTGAGCAGGTCGACAGTCAAATCGGAGGGCAACTGTTAACAAACAACCAAATTTGTAATCTATATGTGGTTACATGCATTTGGTGATTGAGGAGAAAATCTAGAAGCTAATAAATGATTGTTTTAGTTCATTTGGGAGAAATAGTTCAGCAACCCTGAACGGAGGGATTTGGACTTTAAAGGTCCCATCGGACTGCATCATGTGCCAGAGGCGTCAAACACACACACACACACACACACACACACACACACACACACACACACACACACACACACACACACACACACACACACACAAGAGAACATTTCTTTATGTGTGAGTGGTCATGTCACTGTGGATGAAGATGTGACTTCTGGCTTTTTGACCAACAGGAAGGAGGATGAGCGAAAGGATGGGCGCCAGAGATGAAGAGATGGTGTGATGAATTGTCCGGCCTGGAAAGAACACATCTTGGACACAGAGAAGAGGAATGAGGTCATTATCTCTGTCCTCACCTGTGGCCTCCAATCTAGACACAAAAACAAACACACACGCGCGGACACACACATACACACACACCATCAACTTGGTGTCTCCTCGCTGTATTTCCTCTTTTCACTCCCAGACAACAACTTTGTCCTGCCAGTGTGCAAACAATCACAAATCTTTGTCTCCTTGTCAGTCCGACACTATTCAGAGTGTCAGGACTCCTCCCTTTCTGTCACTTTTTGCTCCAGAAGGAATCCACAGCAATTTCGCCACTTCTGGCATGACAATTATATTCGCTTGTACCAATTCCGTTTCCAGACCCATTACTGTTCAATTTATGTCCCCTCCGCTCCTCGGCTCCGATTTTCCCCACAGTAAGCTGTAATCACCTCCATTGGACCATGATCGCCCCTCTTCCCTGCCACCCCCCTCCCCCACCTTTGACCAAGAGGATCACGCCTCTTGAGGCAGCAGAGCAGAGAAATTGCCTGTTATCAAGGGTCGATTTTTCATGCGCTTGTAAATTGCTTTGTATTGACACTCTGTCAGAGTGGGGTCGTCACAGCGGCCCGGGCCACTCGCCACCTCACGGCCGAGCCGTTGATCGCGGCTTGCTTCCGCCAGAATAGAGCGGGTCATGCGGGTGGGGGCGGGCTGGTGCTCAGTTTGATTCGAGTGTGTGTCCAAGTGTGCACCTCCAAATCATAAATTACTTTTGAGATTGGAAGAGGTTCTGATACATCTCAGGGTATGTCTGGTACGCTACGCCCGAAATTATCAGTCATCCAGGTCTTGGAAGTCCACAAAAAGGAATTGGAGGCAAGTTGACCTCTTCGTGAGGCTGCGGACTTCACCCACAGGCAATAGGGTGGGTTATGGATACGTCATCTGTTAGTGCTTAATTACACCCATAACTATTTTGTATGATAAAGTATATCACAATTACAATGGAATTAAAAAAAAAAGGACATCTGAGGAAAAGTGCAATCATTTTTCGTAGATTGCCGGCAGTCTAATTTCTTTCTTTTTTTTTTTTTCCATGAAAAAGTGGTTTTAGCAAGTAACCAAAAGGCCTGTTGTACACCATCTGTCCCCCCAAACTAAATCGAAGGAACACCAAGTGTAGTCAAATGTAACAACTTTAAAAATAAGAAATATGATTTGAGAGGGTAGGGGGGGCACATAGTTGAAGGTTGATGATGGCCCAACTCACTTTGATTGTGAGATGGTTATTCAAGGAGGGCTGGAAACCTTCACAGTGCACATTTGTGGGGCCGAGGCCTGGATAAAGCTAACACTTTGCTCGGGTCCATTTTTTTTCCTTAATAGAGGAGATAAGTGAAATCTTCCAAAGCCACACCAGGGGGTTACAACTGATTTCTAAAATGGCATAAATCCATATTTTGTGGAGGGTTCATTTTGTGCCTTTTGGGTTTTTTTTTTCAGGTCCAGGGCGCCCACAAGTTTGCATTTTCAGACTTGGCCAGGACAGCCCCGTTTCTGCCGGGAGGTAAGGGAAACCTACCAAACACACACCAGGGGTCATGGCCAGCATGAAAAACAAACCATGGATTCCATTTTTTCGGGGAAGCTAATTAGTTCTGTGCAAAGTCGTCTTTCTGGAACATTTTCAAAATGGTTTGACTCTGAGGTTTTTAACAATTACGCATTTCGGTGTGCTTTTCACTTGCTCTCTTGGGGAGATTAATTTGGAAAATGGCTATTTTGCATGTTCCTCTTGATGAACTCCTGCAATGTTTTAATGACTTCTGTGTTTTCTCCTGTTTTCGAGCACAGTCTGCCACAAAAGAACCAATTGAAAAAACAAAAAAAACAATTCCGTGTGTCCAGGAAACGACAGTTTATTGGCTCAGCGACACTTCAGCAATCGATCAACACTTGAAACATACACCTGTCCTCTTTACAGCTCATTCTTTTCATGAGCCTATCCCAGTTAATGGAAAATAAACGTGGCCTGCACCCTGGATAAATGATCAGGTAGTCACAGGACTGACATACAGATTAACACTTAAAAGCCATTTCGTGTTAATGAACCTCATGGACGGTAACTGTTTTTTTGTAATGTGTGAGGAAAAACAGAAAACAGAACCACAAGAAGAACATATAAATTCCACATAAAAACAGTAGGTTTAAGCTAGCCTGAAGCTAGCTTTAGCCTAGCTGAATATGATATTTAAAAAGACCACTACTATGTCTGGAGCTTCATTTTAAGTACCGGTAGCTACATTTCTTCAAAGCTAAGAGATCCAAAAGAATTCAAACGGGGATGAGTGGGTGTCGGCAGACAGAATGTATTCATGTTTTGTTGCAGCCATTGGCTTGGATGTGGTGCCATCTCACTGGCACACTGCGGAAATGTCTGTGTTTCACACCCACTCTCTTGGTAATATGGCACAATGTAGAGCGCGCTGGCAAACATCCCATGCCAAGTTCTTTCCTGGTGAAAAAAAAAATGGAGCCAAAAGAGGATGGGCAGAGGCAGAGGAGGAAAGAAGGTGCTGAGCAGAGATAGACGACTGTGAAAGGCAGTGTAGAAAAAGATGGACGATGATTATTGAATCCAATGAGGTTTTAAAGAGCAGGGGGGAGGAAAGTGGGTTCGAGTGAGTCCAGATGCAGTGTGAAAAAGGACAGAGGAGAAGACGGACTGATAAATGGGCAGAGAGAAAAGAGGAATGCCTGTGAGACTTTGCTTTCTTCCTTCTGTTCCCTCCAAAGTCGAGCCAAGCCGACCAACCCCCCACCCACCCCCCACCACCTCTCTCTGGCAGACGTCCGCTCTCCACTCCGATAGCCCCACCTGCTTTCCCTTCAGTCCTCATAATGTCCTCCCGCTATCGTCCTCCCCTGTCCTCCCCTACCCACAGCTGCTCATCAGCTCACTGTGCGTTCGCATACTCCTACGGCACATCCCGAAGAAGCCCTTTCAAGATAACGTTACTGCACACGAAGGCCGCATTGGGCAAGACACTCCGCGTGAAAATGCACCCAATTTATTAATGACACTTGTAAAGTGGCGCAGCAGCTATTAGAGTTATTGCCTCTGATCAAAAGCTTATAGATGCACGAAAATTACCCGGACTGGAATTCTGACATTAAAATACAGAGGATTGTTCCTACGTACTACCACAACTACGTGAGCCGACATTGCATTTTTAAAGGCTTTTATTGGTAATAATTTTGATCTTTCACTGCAGCACTCTTTTGAGAGTCTACTAATCATCATTGGTGAGAGTTTTTTTCAGTTCACAAAGGGACCAGAAAAAAAAGAAAAACAAGCGTAAAACACTTTCCCTGCTTTGTGTTGTAGTGCAGTCTGAGAGAGAACCTAATGTGTTTTTTAAAAAATGCATGTTGCATGGCAAACCTTATCAGACACTGAAAATGAATGATTTTAAAACCAGTACTGTACATAACAATTTCTGGGTAATGAACTTCTCATATAGACTGCTTGCTCTATGGAGACAAGGAACTAGGTGCTAAAATAAAAGAAAGAAAGAAAGAAAGAAAGAAACTCGTGTGCTGATGCTACGGATGCCAACTTGTGATGTGCGATGGTACTCTCCGCAAAGATCACTCCTCGGGGCTTTTAAAATTCTAACCAGTGACACTTTGACACGGTGGGTGCGTAGCCAAGATGTGGCTTGGTAGCGCAGAATCGCCACGGTTACACTGACACCATATTAAAAAGCATGTTGATCATACGTGCAGTTTGGAGGTTACGAGCAGAAAGGTCAACGAGATTTTCACTTGTACGCCGCGTTACCAATGACGACCACGGTTCTCTGAGTCAAGGGCTTCATCTTGATTTAATGGAGTAAAGTAAGTGAAGATGAGAATTGGGATTATTATGAGAGTCAAGATAAAAAAGGTTCCAGAAGACCCGGAGGGGTCGAGTTTAAAAGGTTGTTGCTTAACTGTGCATTATATTGGTCATATTGTTCTATTATATGACGCAGAGCAGATGTTAGTTGATGCTGCCAATTAAACAATTACACACACAATAGGTGACTTGGCAGACAAATTAGTTTTACATCAGACAGTTTACATCAAAAGGGGCGGAGAGATCCCAAAGCAACTCGACACAAAAAACGCCAATAGAAAAATAAAATGTAATATACTCGGCCGCATGATCTTGTAAAAGGCATCAACAAATGACAAAACCTTTGTCGTGTTGCCACAATAAAATAATCGTCAACATTATAAATGCAGTCACGAGATGGACAGAGGCCAGGAAGGAAAGGAGAGACGATTTCAAATACAACAAATACGCAGAGCCCAACCCACACAATGAATGAAAAATGCAAAAGCACAAAAACCACAAAAGAGGCCGAAAGAGACCTAGGATCAAAAATAACAAGTACGGTACACTGAAATTTGATGTCGATTTATAGTCTACTTAAAAAAATATACCTGGATCCAGATGATTTTATTTTGTGCAACCACTTAAAAATTCAACGCAGCCTTTTTTTCAGTGTACGAAGGAGGAATAACGAAAGGACTTGACCTGGAATATCAAGAAAAACAAGACGGGGGGGTAGCAAAGGGAATAATATGTCTCCTTTGCGCCACTGTTGCCCCTGTCAACCGGCTAATTTGTCAGTCAACAGCAGGTGCGTCGCATGAGACTCCAACCGCCAACACTCACCAAAGTCCAAACACAAGGTAAAAAATGTCACTTGACACTTTAATTCAATGGCCACAAAAGCCTACATGACTACATTCCGTTTGGATCGATCTGTTTTTTAATTTTTTGTGGTCACCTTAAAACACAAAAATCTCAATCCTTATTCGCCTCCCTTCAAGGTACCTTGCCGAGCCCACATCAGATCAGGTTGCAGAAAGCATCTTCGGTCTATAGGTGAACTTCCTCCATAAAGCTTCTCTGCGTGGCATTGAAAAAGAAATATGTAGACACCCCAACTCGAATATTATGATCACGACATCCTGACTTTGATGAACAGAATGCTTGGAGCGCGGGTACGAACAAAGGCGCTTCATTGAGATCCATAATTTCAC